GCTCCGCGATCTGAAATGACACAAATTGTTTCCCTCGTGATAACATGTGCACGTAAATTTCGGAGAAAAAAAGCCCAAGAATCTGTATCTTCTCCTTCGACAAGAGAAAAAGCAACTGGAAGAATGTTGTGATTGCCATCTTGGACAACTGCCAATAATAAAACTTGTTTGTATTTTCCATACAAGAAAGTCTTGTCGATCTGGACCACAGGCTTGCAGTATTTGGCAGCATTAACGCACTGTGGGTAACTCCAAAAAACCCGGTAGAATTGGCATCGATCGCGAAGAACTCGATCATTATGGTATGCATAGGAGGTTTCGATGTCCACAATTGTCCCAGGATTCAACGTCCGCACCAGCCTAAACCAACCTGAAAGTTCATTGTAAGATGCATCCCATTCGCCATGAAGTTTGACAATGGCATTTTGTTTTGCCCACCAAGCTTTTTTATAGGAGACAGTGTACCCATACTGCGATTGTATAGTTGAAATCAGCACTGCAACAGCTATATGAGAGCTTGCTTTTACCATGGGCATGATGGCTTGGCATATCACTTCAGAGTCCAAGTTCGGATGATCTTGGTTGACCCTTCTAGCACAATATGTGTAAGGACTGTTGTATACTGTTAGTTCCCATATGTTGGTTTTCCTCTTCATTTTCGATACGCGAACCATCCAATTGCATCCGTTTTCGCACCGGGCACAATAGCATACATATTTTTCGGTCGTCGATCGGTTGACTCTGGACTGAACAGAATTACGAATATTGTAATTTTTGATAGCCATCATCGCTTCTTCTTTGCTTGAAAACTCCATGCCTAAAGATAATTCACCATTATTTATTGATGAGTAATATCCATAGTCACCGAGATGAGGCATATCCGCAAATTCTGGCCCGTACATTGCACCATAATCAACTTCATACATGTGTGCAGGAGGGTCAGTTTGTACCACATTTCCTGGAACTTCATCATCATCGGAGTTGAATTGCGGTGATTCTGGGTGAATGAATAGTCCAGTCTCAGCACCATCCGCACCAGGCTCACGAAGTGGTTCTTCTGGTGGAAATGATGGTTCCTCCATGCTCTCCACATTTAGGTCGAAGAACCTACTACTTGCACGCCTTCCCCTTGAACTGGAAGGCATATCGACATTGAGATCGAAAAAGTTTGCAGTCGAATGCCTCCCCCTGGAGCTTGAAGCCACCGTGTCAAATGGAAACTGCACAGATGATTGCGTCGATGGCATCTCCATATGGTCAAAGAAATTTGCAGATGAATGCCTTCCCCTTGAACTGGACGCGGTGTTGCCATACAGATTGTTCGTGGACCCACCTCGGTACATATCGTAAGGAGTTACGGATGAATGTCTCCCTATTACGGCATTAAAATCATTACACATTATTGTAGTCGGGCTGCCAACTTGATCAACTTGTTCAGCCAGCCCATAGTGTGAGCTTAAAGATTGACCCCGAACAGCACGCACTTGAACAAAATGTGCAAACATCTCAATAGCGGCGTTTGAATAATTACTTTGAGCTTCAACCATCATTTGAACATCATCATTGTTCGAAAGTTCGAACGCTGTATAAGTTAATGGCAACAATGATGTTGGAAATCTGTACTGCAACGACGACATTCTTCTGTTACTTCCAACATGAATCTTCCTCGAAATCTTCGTTATTAGCTCCTCAAGAGTTATGTTTCTCTTGAATGATATTTTAACACGCTCATTTGATACGAAAACAACGTCGGTTTCATCTTCTCGAATTTCACCATCATAATAAACAATAGCTGAAAGTCGTGCCATTCTTTGAGTTTAAAAGTGCGGCAATATTATATCTGCAAAAAAAAAATAACTTAAACAAACCTGATTAAATAAATTATATATGAAAGAAAATATAACACAATAAATTTTTTACACATCAACGTAAATAATTTAAATAATATAATTTTATATTATTACATGCACTGCAAAACTATTTCGACGTATGCTCCCGCTTTTCAATTTTACAAACATAAAAATTAATTGAAAATAATTAGTATAATATTTTTTCAAATAATGATAATAAAAAATAAATATAATTAAAAAATTATAACAAAATTACCTTATAACGAAAAATCGCACGAAATTCTAAATCAAATTTGAGAAGATTGCGAGAATTATTACTCGTTGACGGAATTGTTGTATTAATTTATAAGAGAGGAGAGATGCGAGGAGATGTGAGCCGGAGGAGTGTATTTATAAGCATATAAGGCGCGATACCTGCACCGCGCTATATGCAATTATTTAGATAAAAGATATAGCGCGGATCAGGGACCGCGTTAAATATAATTTCGGAGTATAACGCGGATCAGAGGGCGCGCTATACCCACGTGACGCCAGATCACCGTATATCGCTGGACAGGGGGCGCGCTATACCCACGTGGCGCCAAATCAGCATATAACGTGGTGCAGAGGGCGCACTTTTCTACTAAGAGTGTTAGATCAAAAAATATAGTATGACCGGTGTTAGATCGATAATAATACCGATCACAGGTGATATACCGGGAAAATAGCCTTCAATTGGATACAAATCATATTAGATGAATGGAGAAAATATTTCCAAGTATAAATCTGACCAATAACCATTATGGAAAAAGAATAAATCAATAACAACAGAATAAAAGAATCTCACAAAATTGTACTGTCCTAAAATATAGTATTTTATACGCTAACATCCTCTCATGTCTTATAATCCCCGTTTAAACTCTTAAGCCAGAGTAGCACAATTTGAGGTCGTAGGGTCAAACAAAGCAGGTAGCAGATACTTCCTCCCATTGACACCATGTGCATTGTAGCTGGCACCAGTTGTGGCGTCCACCGGATGGTGTCCGGCATAGCCCGGATAAGCCCTTTTACCATAAATCCCGGGACAAGCAGATGCAGCCTCCAGCGGTGCCTCTTTCGGACCCTGGTAGTACCCATTTCCAAACGGATTGGTCACAGTCCCAGCCAAGAGGCTAGCTATATTGATCACCATCCCGTCAAGACCGACATCATTGTTGGGTGCAACCAAAGGTGGGTTCTGTGGTCCGTAGATGGGCTGGTGGAATGGCCAAGCGCATTGACCCGGGCACTGTGTCTCTGAGTTACCGACCCAGATATAAGCGAATTACTGTGACCATTGCTTGAACTTCCTAAAGCTGAACCATGGGTTCCACACCTGCTAGAACAGAAGCCATCAACAGCCACGTCGGCTGATGTCAAAACAACGTTAATGGCGTTCTTCTGAGCACCCTTTGATCCCAGTTCCACGATTTGTTGATTCATGAGTGATTTTCCCAAAGAGTAGTTGTCGTCAAGGATTTGTGAACCCAAGGAGATGTCAAGAGAAGAAGGTCTCTTGGTGAGCTGATAATATTTTTCCGTGGCTTTCCACCATGTAGCAACGGAGGGTTGAGCTACTGTAGGCTTGGAAGATGCAACGGAAGCGATGAAATCGGAGACAATCGCACGTTGGGAAGGCTTGAATTTGCCATACCAAATGAGATTAACAGATATTTTCCCAGATAGAAGAGGGCCATTGTGGTATTGGAAAAGCAAAGGCTGCTCGGTTTCGTCCGATTCCACGAGCTTCCTTGCTTCCGCGGTGAAATATAACGAAGACACCAAAACAAGAAGAAACAGAACAACATTGGAAGTGTCCAAAGAAGCCATTATAGAAGAAAAGCTCAGATGAAGTGAGATTGAATGTTCATTTTTAGGTAATTTTGGATGATGAGAAGTGAAACGAGGTATGCAGATTTTTTTAAGGGTAGTAAGTGGCAGGAAAGAGAAGGTGGGGTGGCATGCCAGCCAACTGACGCGTTGCCAATGCGTTAAAGGAATACAGTTTAAAGCCAGCTAAGGGCAGATAAAGGCAAAGAGACGTGAAGAAAATTGACGAAATTGGGTGGTTATTCGGGTGATGGTGCTTTTGAGGCAGTGGGAAAACGCGTAATAGTAGTTTGGGGACTGTGCAGCCAAATCCATTTGGGGGAGGTGGCTTTAGGGTTTCAAAAGATCAACTAGCTGGAACATCAAGCTTTCATAATTGAGAATTATTGAAGAGGAAAATAAGTGTTCATAGATGAAACATTTGTGTAACATGTACATGTACCAAGTTACGTGTTGCCGCATATAAAATTAATCTTATTATAAATATACAAATATAGTTAATCACAACTTTTACTGGTTTTGAAATAATTTGCTGCACTACGGTCTTTAATTTAGAAAATAAAAATATTTATAAAATATGAACTAAATTAAATCAAAAGATCACGATGAATATGCATGCAAAGCCAAGACACATGTTAGAATCAACAATAACCCATGAAATAATTTTTACAAATGTAATGTATAGATTTTTAGTCACGGCAGACCAAGAGCTATGAATAGAGGTATCATGCTGCTACATAATTTTTTAAAAAATATTTTTTTATCTAATCCAAACTTAACCGAAGTTAGGGATAGATGGATTAGTTTGACGATAATAATATGATTCATTATGTAATAAATTAATACGAATAAGCTCAAATTTATTAAGTTGTTTTAGCAAATATTGTCACATGAGCACGTGTGTTTTCATTTACCATTTTCATGTAAACTTAAAAAGTTGTATTAAAATTTTAAGGGGTACGAAATTATAAAATTTTAGAATGTGAGATATTAAGATAACCAATAAAAAATACAAATAAAAATTTAGGTTCATCCCTTGACAAAGGCATACGGAAGGCAAGAAAACAGGGCAGTCGAATGAATAATTGACTAATTGTCCACGACCAGATGCTGTTTACAAGCCTGAACACGAGTAATGTTCCTACTGTAGGTCTTGCTGCCAATTGTTTTTTATTCAACTGAGCTAATCCAATTTCCAACATCCTTAACTGGAAAACCAAAATTGGAAGTTTCCCCAGTAAAGTAGGAAAGGCTGATTGATTTGAATCACTAACGAAAACTCCAGAGTGAGAATTGTTAACATGATAAAAGCAAACCCAAGTAGTTTGCTGGTATTTTATTATCCGCATAATCATAATAATTTAACAAATAAAAGAATTAAACCCTAATCCGTGTACATTCAGCTAATCGATGCTTCAGATGGTTAGCTCAAAGTCGAGCAAGATGATGTTGAAGGATCATACAAAGCAGGAAGCAAGTATTTCCTGCCATTGTCACCATGAGCATTGTAGCTAGCACCGATGGTTAGCTAATCGATGCTTCAGGTGGTTAGCTCAAAGTCGAGCAAGATGATGTTGAAGGATCATACAAAGCAGGAAGCAAGTATTTCCTGCCATTGTCACCATGAGCATTGTAGCTAGCACCCGTTGTTGCGTCTACAAGTAGGTTTCCTGCGTATCCTGGATAAGCCCCTTTACCATAAATGCCGGGACAAGCTGATGAAGCCTCCAATGGTGCCTCCGCTGGGCCCTGGAAGTAACCATTTCCGAAAGGGTTGGTGACAGTCCCGGCAAAGAGACTAGCCAAGTTGATCACCATGCCATCCAGACCCACATTGTTGTTTGGTGCAATCAAAGGAGCGCTTTGTGGTCCGTAGATTGGTTGGTGGAAGGGCCAGGCACATTGACCGGGGCACTGAGTCTGGGAGTTACCAACCCAAATGTAAGCGAATTTGGAGTACTTCTTGGCCTTGATGTGACCACTGGTTGAGCCCAAGGCTGACCCATGAGTCCCACATCGGCTCATGCAAAACCCTTCAACAGCAACATCGGAAGCTGTTAAAACAACGTTGATAGCATTCTTTTGGTCACCCTTGGAGGCTAATTCAACGATTTGTTTGTTTTTGAGAGACTTCCCGAATGAATAGTTTTCGTCGAGAATCTGTTTTCCCAAAGACAGGGAAAGCGACGATTTCTTGGAGGAGAGGTGGTAATACTTCTCCGTTGTTTTCCACCACTGGGCAACAGAGGGCTGGTTATTTTGAGGCGGGGCGGGGGAGGAAAGTGAGGCAACAAAATCGGAGACGATAGCCCTCTCGGAAGGCTTGAACTTGCCATACCAAATCAAATTGACTGTAATTTTGCCAGAAAGAAGGGGACCGTTGTGGTATGTCAAGAGCTGAGGCTGGTCTTGCACCAGTTCACTCAGCTTCCTTCCGGCCGAACATATTTGAAACAGAGCTATCATAAGGAAAATTTTCAAAACACAATGAGTAAGGTAAGAAGCCATTTTTTGTTTTGATAGGAAAGAAACAAGGAGAACAATACGGTGCTTTAGGATATGGTTTGAGTTGTGGATTTTGAGGATAGTGGAAAAGGGTATATATAGGCCTGGGAAATGAGTTTATTTATTGAACTTCAATTTCTTTAGAATTTAAAAAAAAAGTGGGGATTTAGGGTTGGAGCTTCGTCATTGCCAGTAAGCTTTGAAAAAGAGGCGCAACGGTTTCAAAAAAAGAAAAGAAAACAGTGTCCCGCCATTCGCTCTACGTGCCGTTTCATTTCACTCTCCAATAAAAAATATCCGTGATTAACAGTGCCTTTTAAGCGCGTGAAAACAAGTTTCTTGGTGAACTGCGAAAGTGTGGTAAAATGGAAGCAGATATAATAAACGTTATGAAATGACAGGCTGGAGTTAATTTTATTGGTAGCTAGCTGGCTGGCTGGCTGTCAGAGTGGGCAAAAGTGGTGAATCCTGGGAATCCAAGGTGATGTACGCGCCTGTGGCTCATTTTGTAGGCCTTGGCACTTAGCTGGATCAAGCTAACACAAGGCACGGAATAGTGTGGACTTGAAGAGCAGCCAGCTAGCCCCAGGCCTTTTTCCCTCTTTTCAAAAACAGAGCTCCTGCTTAGTGTACTTGTTGCAGGTTAACGTTGGTGCTTCAGTTTCAAAGTTTGAAGTTGAATAAATCCCAATATTGGAGGGATATAATAATTCATGTTATTGTATCCTTAAATTCTTTTTTTTATTACTGAAAATTGAGGTATGTATCACTTATTAAGATGATATATATTTAAATAAAAAACGATTCAATGAATCAATTAACAAATATGTTGATTTTACAGACATTTTCATATCATCCGTGACTTACAAGCTACGAGACCAAATCAAAAGTATAACAGTTCAAATAATCTAACCCTAAATTCACGAGCTTAATTTTAAACTATCTAACACCTAAACAAACAGCAATCGCGAGGCAAGCTAATTAGTTATTTAAGTAATAACTTAGATCACATGATTCTTGTATCTTAATGAATATTTAATTAGAAAATAAAATATTATCTTAAAATAATATTATATTACGTCGAATCGATGAATTGGTTGCCTATGAGTCCACTTACAATGCCCTTAAGTCCCGAAATATTCGAAATATAAAATTATTACTGAACCGTGTCTGATGGGAACTACCTGCCTTGTCGGAGACATTTTCACATATATATCTAGTTTTCTAACAGCAACTTGCAAGATTTATCGAGGTGGTTGAGAATCTAAGCCTCTTATGCATTTCAAAAATCACATTAAGCATAGTCATGTTCACAAAACTAAACTGGAAGTAATGTTTTCTTCTTGTTATTATGACATGAAATCTTCAACAGAATTTCATGCCCCCTATCATATTGACTCTCTTTGTCTGCAAGGTCTGATGTCTCCATGCTTATAAAATGTTGAACTTCTTTTCAAAGAGGATATAAGCATGGGCAAAATAAGGATAAAGTTCGTGAGAACAAATATAAATAATAATATGAAAGTTCAAAATCTAATTGTTGAGGTATCAAATTGAAACTTAAAAATAGGGATGTTAGGGTCTAATTTGTTTAATTTTGAATTTATAGAATATTGCAGAGGAGGATATAGCCCTCCCACCATCAATATAGCTTCATCCATGGTTATCAGTTCCAAAATCCATTGCCGATGTGTAGGTATAATCCATAAATATTTGTGTGTGCTATTTCACAAATTAAACCAAGCTGTGGACCTTGTTTAATGTTATTTTAGTGTCTTTGGGTTGTAGTTACATAGAAAAGCGTGTATTGTCGATGGGGATGGATGTTCCTTCCTCATTTTCTCATATGTTTATATCATGTGCAGTCCATCTATCTTTGTTCTATTATGGATAAACTTTTCTTGCATGGTTAACAGTATAAACTGTTTCCGCTCTTCCCAGAAACCTTCATATATCTAATGGGGTGAAATTAGTTGTGTATATAAGACTTGGAAAACCTTCATTTTGAGATATTCTGAAGTCGCACTTTCTCAGAAGGTGTCGCTGTTGAGGCTCCACTGAATGTCAATGTGTAATGATAAAATGATAAGGTAAACTCTTCCATTTTTCCATCTCGGTCGACCTTGCATGTTCATTTTCCGTCCATGGTTTTGGTGCTGGAATTTTTCTTATTCATATTATCCATCGAAATAATCCGCTTAAGCGTGCGAGTAGTATATTATAATTCCCTCGAATGCCGCCAAAGCAATAGCATCTATGGGTTGATAAAATGTCTGGTGAAGTGAACCACCCGCAATACGAGGGCATGTCCTATTGGTATTGACATCCATCCCTGTAACTCATGGGATGGGGAAGGCTACTCTATTTCCTACAGCAGTATAGTTCAGCTGGAGCAACCAAAACAGTCTGGAATAATCCCATGATGTGACAATGCACTGCAGTTTTGTGTGTGGATAATGGAATTAAATGATGAAGCTACCTCAACTACGTCTCCATACTTGTTTTCTTGCAGAACATTGCATCTGGTACTCAAAACCCCTACGATTGATCATTTAGCCACGATTGTAGATTTTGCAGAGTTTATGAACCTAAACTATCCTCATCTTCATGCAAATAAAATGTATTATAAAACAAAATAAGAAATCTACCGTGCAATCCCTTGCAACTTTCTCATTGCATGAACCAACTCAACTATAAATAAACCCCTCTTACCCATATCCCAATATCCAAATTCAAACCCCCCCCCCCCTCTTTCTCTTTCAATATTTGGGTTCCAATTTTTAAGTTTTCACTTGCTACCACCCTTGTTTACTTCTCAATGTTCATCCCTTGTCTGAGACCCTCATGGTATTTCCCTTTGTATTGTGTTAATCTGCTGTTTAACTAATTAACTGTAAATAAATCTTTTTTTTTTCATTATAAAATGGGTTTGTATCTGATAAAGTGCATAAAGGTTCATGAATAATGACCATCGTTGATAACCATCCAAAAATTGGACCGTATTTTAGGCTATCAAATTAAGCCCAATCACCTTTATCTATTTAAGTCCAAATAGGAATGATCCTGGCCCAATTAATCTTTTTACATGTTGATAATAAATTTTTATGTATGATTTGTATATTTATGTATTTATTTTAAACAATGATATTTTTTTAGGTTATTCTTATAATATATTCCAATTAATTTCATATTTTATACAATTTATGTCAATTCTAAAACAGTTATTCAAAATTAAATAAATAAATCTACCATGCATTAATACAAACAACGTATTCAAAATCATAATAATTTTTTTATTAATCTTGGGTGAATACAAGGTAATATATGTTCAAAGAATTTTAACCTTTTGACATTGAACGCTTATACCTTTGCATACATGGTAGATTTATTTATTTGAATTTGAATAATTGTTTTAGAATTATGTTTTTAACTTAAAAATGTAATAACAATTATATATATTTATATTTGAATTAAATCTAGAGAAAATATATTAATTAGATCAATATAATTTTCTTGACATAATTCATACATATTGTTTATTTAAGGTAAACTAACTATTTGGTTACCCACCTATTACTTAATTTATGTTTTGGTCACTCAACTATTATTTTTTCAAAATCATATATAACCTTACGTTTTGGTACTGTTTTGATCACCTAACTTTAAAAAATTAACAATGATATTAACATGACATTTTTAAATTATTTTTCAATCCTAACGTGAGATTATCGTATGATGACATCACCACTAATTTTTTAAAGACAAGCGACCAAAACATAATCAAAATATAACATTAAGTGTGATTTAAAATAAATATTAATTAGGTGACCAAAACAGAGACTAAATAATAAGTAACTAAATAAATAATTTACTCTTTTTGGACGTGGGGTGGGCCAAAGCTTAGGTGGGCCTAGGCCTAGAGACACCTTTAATATCAGGAAATAACAATAATCTTTTAATCATTAAAGTCACTTGATTCATGCTAATAAAAGGATTTCAAGTGTAACGAATATATATTCTAAAATCCTCTCAACGATAGCTTTGATACGCTTGATTTTTGATGAAATTCAAATCGAAAGAAATAAGAAGACAGAGGAGCACACAAGGCGTCAAAGCGTTGAATTTATTTCCCTTTGCTAGTAAATTCTCCTTTTTGAGTCGATAGTTCAATCACATTGAGGAATGCACTTACTATCATCTGTAAAATGAATAAATAACGTAAAAAAAGTTGATTTTAAGGTGGACAAGGTGCGTCCACCACCGTATACTGTGAATCGAATACATCAAAAACAAAATCCGTGTACCGTCCAAGAAACAAGGTCGCCCTATTAATAAAGAAATGAAGAAAAGGTTTGGGCTATGGTGCCTAAGAAGCTGGGGCATGCTGATTGTGTCATCCATGATTTCACCTTTGAAGGCTATAATAACTTCATATCAGATACTATCGTTAATATTTTAATTAACAGATAAGATAAGAGGCCAATTTAAATTAAGATCAAATTACAATTGCGTGCACTTCTCTCCTATGCGAATACGTCCTCAAATTTGTTTTCACTCCAATGAAGTACAAGCTTAATATTTTAAATGATTTTTGAAATTCAAGATTCTTTTCAAATAATTCTTATTTAAGAAAAGGAAAGAGAAATTTCATTTCTAGTAGTATAAACCTATAACTACGATTTAAGAAAAAGATGTGTCAGTTAAAAACTTTTATCCAAATGTTTCTTAAAGATTATTGACAAACTTAAAATTGTTTTTGAAATTCAAGTATTAAAATATCTAAAATTTATAGCAGGGACAGATGTACTATACCCCTTAGTGAGTTATATGTATTCCTATTATTTAAAAAAATTGATTAAATTTAGTTCGATGTGTTAAGAAAAAAATAAAAAGATAAAAAAATTTACATACCATTATTATTTTTAAAATATTAAAATTTTAATCTTTATTCTTAAATTTCTATGTTGGTCGTTATTTATAATACGTTAAAGTAGAAATGGTTGATAGATTCATATACCAATTTGGCAATTTATATACTAAAGCCTTATTAATATAT